TATTTGTAGGGGATGGGTTAAATCCAATAAAAACAAACAAACAAAACAAAAATATTGAGCAAGAACTTCAACCTCCCAAAAAATTTGTGCACCGTCGATTTGCTTAAAAAATAAATTATCGACCATGTCAATAATTTGATTTTCCGATTTTCTTTATTTGACAAAGATATAGTGCTAATTCAGCAAAAACGTTTCGTGCATTGCCTTTACTGGAGGGCGACAAAAAATCCTTTCCATAGCAAGTTTTTTTTTCTGACAAAATGCCAAGGCAGACTTTTTTTTCTAAATAAAAAAATCACCTTTCTAATATCTTCCCTATTTCATAGCTGCCGGCTCTTTCATATTTCCCCTAAATAATGAATACTAAAACGCATGCAATTTTTATTTTGCAAAACAATTTACTGAATAGTCGAGTGAGATTTCAAACTATTTCCATTGTCTTCTATACTCACAAATCTCTTGCATTTGTACGAGCTGTTGTGAATAAAAGAATTTATTACATGGTTTTGAGGCTAACACAGAGTAAAAGAGATCGCTAAAAGGGTTTATTGGAAAGCAGAGAAGCCAACTAAAAACAGGAATGACTGCGAACTCAGCTTTGATTCGAAAAAAAAAAACAGTCGAACATCAGTCTTCAAAACTTCAAGATTYGCATCTAAGAAAAAACAATATATGAATATAATCATTCGGGTTTTTTTTCCCCGACTTGTCTAGAGAAATATAAAAATAAAAACCTTGTATCAATCTTCAATAAAAAAAGATTCACTGAAGAATAGAAAATATTCGTCAACTTTCGCTGAAGTTTATCCTGCACTAATCAGAGGGCTTGTGATCCGTGATGCGAACCTCAAAGGAATCGAAGTTGAAAAGCCAATAAAGTGCATATGGAACTGACGTATCCAGGACTTGTAGGTTTATAAATTTACTAGAAACTAGCAGTTAACTACCAACTAGCACATATGAACTTAGCAACTAGCAACTAGCAACTAGCAACTAGCAACTAGCAACTACCAACTAGCAACTAGCACAATCTCCAAGCTGGTCACTTGAAGATATGAATTTTATCTTCAAGCTTTGAATTTATTTATCCCACGAGTTAGCACAATATTTCCATGCACCCATGTAATATCCTTTATCTAATCACACAGGAATGATAAATAATAATAAATACATTTTGGCAGTTGATATTTGTCAATCATACAGTGATCCAAAAAAATGATTTATGGGTCATTTGAATTTGACAATTTTGGTGGTTTTTCAATCATACAGGAAACATACCTAATAATAATTTAATCGCACAGGAATGACACTAATTACCTCAATACATTTTTGACATACAGTGATCATAAATGATAATACATTTTGACAGTTTTGTAAACTGTAAATCTTGTTTTGTAAAGGAATCATAAGCTTAATGTTCATAATGATTATCCATTTTTCAACTTCTGAAATTCTTTGCTTATCTTTGCTCTCTGTATTTGTTGACAGTTTGTATTAAAGAGTTTATTGAAGAATAAAGAGTAAAAATCTGAACATTCAAATAATATCAAGGCTCTCTTTTCAAAATGCATAGTTTTATTAAAACATCCGAGTAGTTTTATGTCAAATAAGAATATTATTGTGGATAGAATGTACACACAATTCACACATATTTTACATGTAATTGTCAACAAGCTCATTTAACTGAGAAGTTTTGAAGTGTATCAGGTRAATATTTTCAAATTCNGACAAGTAAAAATGAATGATAATGATATAAAAATACGCAAGTAAAGTAAGCAAAAAACCTAGAAGAATCCAAGACGAATTGCGTAATCATGGCATTCTTGTACGTAAATGCGATCTATTTTAACCTAACCTCGTTGTCAATGTATTACAGGGCAATGGTAATCGTTGTATGGTGATAACAGGACCTAATATGGGTGGTAAAAGCTGTTACATCAAGCAGGTCAGTTACAGTAGTCCGTGGAGGAGTAACATTCGTAATATAAAAATTAGGTAAAACCTAATAGCGGAGATCCCAAAAGAAATGCATGTTGGATAAAGATGGGATGCAAGACAAGAAGACACATTGGTCAGATTTTTAGTACATGTTTTGTCAAGACTAATTTATTTTTTCTAACAAAAAAATTCCATTGCACTACATTAAATGATTATTAAATATTTACTCTTCAGCTTTGTTGATGCAAAAAAGTGATATATATAAATATATGTAAAGAAAACCACTTATTTTAAATTCTTGTGGTATTGTGTGCATTCAGATAGTGCACAATTTCTTATGAAGAGTACACCATGTATAATGCTAAAAACATAATTTAGGTTATTTACCAAAATAAAACTTCTTTAGATAGAGTACAAACACTAAAACTGTGCAACATAAATACCACTAAATACTGCTAAATTATGCTAATTCTATTGTTTAATTAACATTATTTTGTACTAAATAGTGGAAAGTATTTCACACATTTAATGTTTGTACTCTAATATTACAGAAATCATAAATTAATATAAATTGTTAATATATTTTGAAACTTTGACTTTTCAATCATACAGGATTTATATTTATTGTTAAATGCATTTTGACAGTTGAAATTTTTCAATCATGCAGAAATACGGTAATAAAAATAATAACAAATGCATCTTTATATGTCAATAGATTGAAATTGCTTGCAATTTTTTTTGTAAATTCTTAATAGTTGGTATTTTTCAATCTTTACAGAAATCATAAAATAATATAAAAAATGCATTTTGACAGTTTTGGTATTATTCAATCATGCATAAATCATAAATTAATAATTAATATGTTCTTGAAATGCTCAAAATTTTTGATCTTATAATGAAAATGTTACACACTTTTGCTTACACCAATGTCATTTAATAAACAACATTACAGCTGTCACTTGAGAGATAGGATATCATGCTAGTTGCTAGTTGCTAGTTGTTAGTTGCTAGTTGCTAGTTGCTTGTGAAATAGTGCGAAAAATCAATTATGATAAAAAATATAGAAAATTTGGGTAAAATTAAAGATATCATTTTTTTACTTTATGGGCCAAATACTTTGTTGAACACCCAATTTCATTCAAGAATTTGTAAAGGTAATCATAGATTCTTGTTGTGCTATTTAGAATACATTATTTGTAACCATTGAAAAATTTACAAGTTACAACCTATTGTACATGTAAATTGCACGAAAAATCATGCGATCATTTTTACACAGCGCTAAATTTGAAGCCAAAAATTCTGTGGTTTCAGTTATGCCATTGCAATTTTTCTGTGCATAAAAATGTGATATTCATACCCTTTACCTTTTAGAGCATAAAAAGCCACATAGTGTAATAAAAATTTAGTATTGTATAGGGCCGTATAGCATTTGGTTGCGGAATTATTCTAAACTGATCAGTATTAGGTTCTCGAGGGGGGGAAAC